CTGCCACCTTTGGAGAGTGGCCAAGCCTCTTCCCATCTGCAGTGCTTCCCGGAGCTGGCAGATGCTGTCCTGTCCACCCAGGGTCAAACAGGGCATCAGGCGAACAGATCTTTCCTCAAATGGCATTTCAGATTCACCTTGCCCTGGCTTAAAAAAGTATTTCCCGGCTGGGCGCAGTGGCTCACCCCTGTAATCCCAGCACTTTGGGAGGCCAAGGCAGGTGGATCACGAGGTCAGGAGATCGAGACCATCCTGGCTAACACGGTGAAACTCCGTCTGTACTAAAAAAGAAAATACAAAAAATTAGCTGGTGTGGTGGCAGGCGCCTGTAGTCCCAGCTACTCGGGAGGCTAAGGAGAATGGTGTGAACCCAGGAGGCGGAGCTTCCAGTGAGCTGAGATAGTGCCACTGCACTTCAGCCTGGGTGACAGAGTGAGACTCTGTCTCAAAAAAAAAAAAAAAAAAAAGGATTTCCCAGCCCGGGGCAGTGGCTCATGCCTGTAATCCCAGCACTTTGGGAGACCAAGGAGGGAGGATCACTTGAACCTAGGAGTTCAAGATTAGTCTGGGCAACACAGTGAGACCCCCCTCTATAAAATTTTTTAAAAATTAGCCAGGCAAGGCCATGCCCAGTGGCTCACACCTGTAATCCCAGCACTTTGGGAGGCTGAGGCAGGTGGATCACCTGAGATCAGGAGTTTGAGACCAGCCTGGCCAACATGGTGAAACCCTGTCTCCACTAAAAATACAAAAAATTAGCTGGGCATGGTGGTGAGCATCTGTAATTCCAACTACTCGGGAGGGTGAGGCATGAGAATCGCTTGAATCTAAGAGGCAGACATTGCAGTGAGCTGAGATCCAGCCATTGCATTCCAGCTAGAGCAACAAGAGTGAAACTCCATTTGAAAAAAAAAAATTAGTCGGGCATGCACCTATAGTCCCAGCTACTCTGGAGGCTGAGGTGGGAGGATCACTTGATCCTGGGAGGTCAAGGCTGCAGTGAGCCGTGATTGGGCCACTGCACTCCAGCCAGGGAGAAAGAGTGAGATCCAGTCTCAAAAAAAAAAAAAAAAAAGAGGACTTTTTTTTCTTTTTCTTTTCCTTTCTTTCTTTTAAGACGGAGCCTCGCTCTGTTGCCCAGGCTAGAATGCTGTGGCATGATCTCGGCTCACTGCAACCTCCGGCTCCCAACTTCAAGTGATTGTCCTGTTTCAGCCTCCCAAGTAGCTGGGATTACAGGCCTGCACCACCACGCCCAGCTAACTTTTTGTAGTTTTAGTAGAGATGGGGTTTCACCATGTTGGCCAGGCTGGTTTTGAACTCCTGACCTCAGGTGATCCACCCACCTCAGCCTCTCAAAGTGCCAGGATTACAGGCATGAGCCGTCGTGTCCCACCAAAAAAAGAATATTTTGAGAGAAAGACAGCGACCCCATAACTTTGTTTGTTTGTTTGTTTTGAGAGTGAGCTCGCTCTGTTGCCCCAGCTGGATGCAATGTGCCATCTTAGCTCACTGCAACCTCCACCTCCCAGGTTCAAGTGATTCTCTTGCCTCAACCTCCCCAAGTAGCTGGGATTACAGGCTGCCTGCAACCCATGCCCAGCTAATTTTTGTATATCTTTTTTTTTTGGAGAATGAGTCTCACTCTCTGTTGCCTCAGGCTGGGAGTGCAGCGGCACGATCTGGCTCAACCTGCAAGCTTCCTGCCTCCTGGGTTCACGCCCTTCTCCTGCCTTCAGCCTCCGAGTAGCTGGACTTCACAGGTGCCCGTTCACATCTGCCCAGCTTATTTTTTGTATTTTTAGTAGAGATGGGGTTTCACTGTGTTAGCTAGGATGGTCCTCGATCTCCTGACCTTGTGATCCACCTGCTTGCCCTCCCCGAAGGCTGGGATTTACCAGGCGTGAGCCACCGCGCCCGGCCTAATTTTTGTATCTTTAGTAGAGATGGGGTTTTGTCATGTTGGCCAGGCTGGTCTCGAACTCCTGACCTCAGGTGATCCACCCGCTTCAGCCTCCCAAAGTGCTGGGATTAAAAGCTTGAGCCACAGCACCCGGCTTCACATAACTTTGATCACAGTATATTGTTATAATCATTCTATTTTATTAGTTATTGTTAATCTCTTAGAAGGAATACTTCATACCATTTGCCAGTTTATAAATTAAACTTTATCATAGGTATGTATATACAGGAAAGAACATAGTGTACACAGGGTTCAGTATTATCCATGGTTTCAGAGGGTCTTGGAGTGAATCCCGTGGATAAGAGAGGCTATTGTGGCTCTTGGAGATATTCCACGTGGTCAACATAGATCTCTTTGTAATGGCTGCAGGGTTTGACGCTGCTTGAATGCGTTTATGCCCTAATGAACACTAGGCTGTTTCTTGTGTTTTTGCTATACTCAATAACGTCACAGTGGAAATTCTATTTTTTCCCTCCAACTTTTACTTTAAGTTCCAGGGTATATGTGTAGGATGTGCAGGTTTGTTACACAGGTAAATGTGTGTCATGATGGCTTGCTGCACACACACAGTAGAAATTGTTTTTTTTTTTTTTTTCTTTGAGATGGAGTCTGGCTCTGTCACCTAGGCTGGGGTGCAGGGGCACAGTCTCAGCTCACTGCAACCTCCGCCTCCTGGATTCAAGTGATTCTCCTGCCTCAGCCTCCCAAGTATCTAGGATTACAGGCATGCACCACCACACCTGGCTAATTTTTGTATTTTTAGTAGAGACAGGGTTTTGCCATGTTGGCCAGGCTGGTCTTGAACTCCTGACCTCAGGTGATTCGCCCACCTTGGCCTCCGAAAGTGCTGGGATTACAGGCATGAGCCACCGTGCCCGGCCCACAGTGGAAATTCTTGAATGCTATTCAGTGTGAGAGAAAGAGGCGGTGTGGTGGGGTGGGTGGTGGATGGATGTAGCTGGCTTCTTGGGACATGCACACCACTCTTGGGGTGCAGCAGAAGCTTGTCCTACATGTGGGTAGCATTGTCCCATCAAGGTCAAGGTGTTGGTCCCAACGCTGAGACCCTGGGGCATTCAGGGACAGACCCAAATGTCAGGGAGACGGAGGAGAGGGCAGACAGGAGACTGAAGCAGAGGGAGGAGGGTAGCTGGCTTGGGGAAGCCCTTACCCAGGGGTCTGCAAACTTTTCCTGAAAAGGGCCAGATAGGAAATGCCTCAGGCAGTACGGGCCAGGAGGTCACTGTCACCACCACTCCGCTCTGCCCTGTAGCTGGAAAGCTGCCCTAGTCAATACGTAAATGAACGAACAGGGCCGTGTCCCAATACAACTTTATTTATCAACATGGAAATTTAAGTTTTATGTAATTTCTACATGTTATGAAATAATATTTTTTGTGCTTCTTTATGAACCATCTAAAAATATAATGCCATTCTGGCTGGGCGCGGTGGCAGGCGCCTGTAGTCCCAGCTGTTTGGGAGGCTGAGGCAGAAGAATTGCTTGAACCTGGGAGGTGGCGGTTGCAGTGAGCCGAGATCACACCACTGCACTCCAGCCTGGGTGACAGAGTGAGACTCCATCTCCAGAAAAAAAAAAGTGATGCCATTCTTAGCTGGTGGGTCCTACAAAAATGCTAGAGGTAAGTCATCTTTGTCACATTCTGTCAGCAGATAGAGGGGCCAGATGAGGCTTACAGGCGGCTCCCGGCATCTCTGAGCATTGACTCGTGGACGTTCCCTGGAGCCTCCCTGAAGCTCCATCCGGGCTGGGAAGAGGGAGGACCTAGAGATTTTCACGAGTATCCCAGCAGTGAGAATGGACTCTTGCCGGGCAGGCAGACACAGCAAGGCTCTCCTGGGTGCTGGGGAAAATTGAAGCCGGCAGCTTCAGCTCCGAAAGCTCTTTGGAGAGGCTTCCCAAGGTGGGGTGCACTTGGACCAGGCTCCAGGTGTTGTCAGAACTACTGGAAGATCGTTTTCAAGATAATCTGGAACAGGAAGAGAAGGCACAAAAGCCCCAGAATCGGAGAAGCTCTTGGCAGGAATTTGATTAAGGAAACGAGACAGGGCTGGATGCAGTGAGTCATGTCTGCAACCCCAACACTTTGGAAGGCTGAGGCAGGAAGACACTTGAAGTCAGGAGTTCAAGACAGCCTGGTTAGAGGTATAATATGCTGAGATTAAAAAAGAAGACGACCAGTCTGGGGAGCAGAGAGAGACCCCGTCTCTACAGACACATTTAATAATTAGCAGGGCACAGTGGCACACCTCTGTAGTCCCAGCTACTCAGGAGGCTGAGGCAGGATCACCACTTGAGCCCAGGAGGTGGCAGAGAACTAAGATTCTGCCACTGTACTCCAGCCTGGGTACAACGGAGGAGACCCTGTCTCTAAAGAAAAAAAAAGAAAGAAACGAGATGTTCTTAGGTTCTTTCTTTCCTAGGTTCTCAGGTTTTGTTTTTTTTTTTGTTTGTTGTTGTTGTTTTTTTTTTTTGAGATAGTCTTGCTCCATTGCCCAGGCTAGAGTGCAATCTTGGCTCACTGCAATCTCTGCCTCCTGGGTTCAAGCAATTCTCATGCCTCAGCCTCCTGAGTGGCTGGGATTACAGGCACGCACCATCACATCTAGCTAATTTTTTTTGTATTTTTAGTAGGGACGGAGTTTCTCCATGCTGGCCAGGCTGGTCTCGAACTCCTGGTTTGCGCATCTAAGAGGCTGCGGCGGGATCTGTGCTGTCTACCACGAAAGGGCTGCCAGGGATGAGGCCCCACCTGGGTGAGCACGTTGTCCTTCTGGGTCAGATTCTCAACGATTTCAAAGTGGTCCACATCGTGGAGCTGTTCAAACGAGGCTTTCCACTCTCCTTGACATAGGGTCTGGGGAGGGGAGACATGGGAGGAGGGGCCTGAGCAGTGGGAAAGGAGGTGGGGCAGGACATGGGGCCGTGCCTGGCACAGGTCAGGGTTCACTGTGTTAAATAAATGACGGATGAGGCAAATAATGAGCTCACATGACCCTCGACCTCTGGCCACAAACCTGTGCTGAGAGTACCTGGTAAAACTCCCAGGACTGTCGGTGAAATTCGGGGGAGTCGAACTGGCCCACGACCACCAGCACACGGCAGGTGGGGTCCACCGGCTGCGCCTGGGCCACCTTCAGCTGGGGGCTGTTCCTCTGAGCGTCCTCCCTGGGGCGGGGAGTGGATGGGTCAGGACGGAGAGAAGCCGGGCTCCAGGTGAGCCAGGGGAGGTGGTGGGCAGGTGACTCACAGGGTCAGCTGCAGAGCGATGTTCTGTGAAGTATACATGATGGGCTCCAGGTCAAAGACCCCACTCACGAGGAAAAAGCCTGTGAGGGTGCAGAATCGTCACAGGACCAGGCTCCAGGCGGAGCAAGGCAGGGCCAGCCCACCCCCACGGCCAGAGGGGCAGGACCAGGGGAGGGGGCACGGAGGAAGCAGAGAAGGCCTTGCTCAGAGGGCTGGAAGCCCTGCAGTCAAGCCACTCACAGCTGGGAGGATTTCAATCAGTTGGCCCAAACCGCAAGGCTCATGGGGAGATGAAGGTTGCCCAGCCAGGCTGCAGCCCCCATGGAAACCTTTGAGGTTGGGCGTGACCCCATGCTTGGTCCAGTTGGCAAGGAGCATCATGGCGGCCAGGTGGGCCCCGGCTGAGTGTCCACATAGGTAAATTCCCCTGGGAGGGGTCAGAGCAGAGAACTGGATTTGCACACAGTTTCCCCACAACATCAGGCCCACTTCAAAGAGTCCCAATTTGCTTTCTGCTCCACAGGCCAGAGGGGAAGCTTGGCTGTGTCCGAGGGACTGATTGCACTGTCCTCCCACCCAGTGAGGTCCAACAGGAAGAAAATCTACCAGCAACACCCACCCATTGCTTGGATACCGCGTCTGGACAAACGCAACGCTGCGGGTCACCTGGTCTACCATCTGGTCCAGGGTGCCTGCACAGAGAGTATGAGCTGGGTCAGGGACTCGCTTCCTCCTAAAGCCCACACCGGCCCTCGGACCTGCAGCAACCACCCCTATTACCTTTGGGGGCGATGTCATAAGCCACTATTACCACGGCCACTCCCTGTGCCGTCAGCGGGTCGACCATGAAGGCAGACTCGTCCTTACTGCAGAGAGACACAGATGTGACAGCTGGAGGCAGCCTGGCCACTACACTGCTTCCCGTGTCCTGGACACACCACTTTCCAGATGTTCTGTCCATGCACAGCACCACCCCTTTCTGGCCCCGTTTGAGAGAGGGAAGCGGACAGGATCGCTCCCTGCCACATCACATACTAGCTATGGGACCATGGGGGAGCTTCATGTAACTTTATTTTTCTTTTTTTTTTTTGAGACGGAGTCTCGCTGTGTCGCCCAGGCTAGAGTGCAGTGGCGCAATCTCGGCTCACTGCAAGCTCCGCCCCCCGGGTTCACGTCATTCTCCTGACTCAGCCTCCGGAGTAGCTGGGACTACAGGCGCCCGCCACCACGCCAGGCTAATTTTGTTTTTGTATTTTTAGTAGAGATGGGGTTTCACCGGGTTAGCCAGGATGGTCTCGATCTCCTGACCTTGTGATCCGCCCACCTCGGCCTCCCAAAGTGCTGGGATTACAGGCGTGAGCCACCGCGCCCGGCCGTAACTTTATTTTTCTAAGCGATAGGGCCTCGCTCTGTCGCCCAGGCTGGAGTGCAATGGCGTCATCACGGTTCACTGCAGCCTCGACCTCCTGGGCTCAAGCAATCCTCCTGCCTCAGTCTCCCAAGCAGGAGTACAGGTGTGCACCACTATGCACAGCAAATTTATTTTTTCTTTTGTAGAGATGGGGGTCTTGCTATGTTGACCAGGCTGGTTTCTAACTCAATCCTCCCGCCTCGGCCTCCCAATGTGTGGGATTATAGGTGTGAGCCACCGTGCCTGGCAATTTATGTAACTTCTAAGCCTGGTTTCCTCATCTGTATAAAATAGAGGCAATTATATTCCCTCTGTTAGGGAACTGTTTTTGAGAATTAAAGACCAGCAGTGTAGAGAGTTTTGTGTGGAATAAATGTAAGCTTTTTTTTTTTTGAGACAGAATCTCGTTGTGTCACCCAGGCTGGAGTGCAGTGGCATGATCCTGGCTCACTGCAACCCCTCCTCCTGGGTTCAAGCGATTCTCCTGCGTTAGCCTCCCGAGTAGCTGGGATTACAGGCACACGCCACCACGTCCAGCTAATTTTTGTATTTTTAGTAGACACAGGGTTTCACCACGTTGGCCAGGCTGGTCTCAAACTCTTGACCTCAAGTGATCCGTCCGCCTTGCCCTTCCAAAGTGTTGGGGTTACAGGCGTGAGCCCCCGTGCCTGGCCATTAAATGTAAGCTATTAACATGAAGATGCTTGAAGGCAACGCTGTAGGAAGACCGTAGGGAACACAGTGTCTGTCAAGATCCCAAATTCCCAAATACCCACAAAAAGCTTACAGTGACCAACTGTCCCATTTTACCTTGGACTTTCATTATTTTTTTTCTAAAGTACTGAAAACCCCATGTCCTAGGAAACCCCTCCTCAGTCCCAAGCAAACGGGGACAGTGGTTGGTCGCTCTGGCTTTTCCTTTGATTCAAGAGGAGGCTGAACATGCTTCTCACTGGTTGCAGTGGGTTGAACTGTGTCCCCCCAAAAGATATGTCCAAATCTCTAACCCAGAACCTGTTGACTATGCGTATACAAAAAAAATAAAAAGGAGAAAGGGACCGGGACACGGTGACTCACACCTGTAATCCAGCCTTTGGGAGGCCGAGCGGGCGCGATCACACGCTCAGATTCGAAACCATCATCTAATACGGTGAAACCCATCTCTACTAAAAACACAAAAAATTAGCCGGGCGTGGTGGGCGGGCGCCTGCAGTCCAGCTACTCTGGAGGCTGAGGCAGGAAAATGGTGAACCCGGGAGGCGGAGCTTGCAGTGAGCCGAGATCGCGCCACTGCACTCCAGCCTGCGGGACAGGCGAAACTCCATCTCAAAAAAAAAAAACAAAAAAAAACCAGGAGGCTGGTGTGGTGGCTCACGCCTGTAACCAGAACTTGAGAGGTCAAGGCGGGAGGATCACTTTAGGTCAGGAGTTCAAGACCAGCCTGGCCAACATGGTGAAACCTGTCTCTACTAAAATACAAAATTAGCTGGCCTGGTGGTGGCGCACCTGTAATCCCAGCTACTTGGGAAGCTGAAGCAGAAGAATTGCTTGAGCCTGGGAAGCAGAAATTGCAGCGAGCTGAGTCGGCACCACTGCGTTCCAGTCTGGGTAGAGTGAGACTCTGTCTAAAAAAAGAAAAAAAAAAAGGAGAGGAGATAGGACAC